TCTCAACGTCTGTCTGTACAGCTATCTTTAGAACTGCTTAGAGACAGACTACTTGCCTCTAATGTATTATTTTATTGCTATTTCCATACAAATATTATAAAAATCTTGATGATCTTATGATTCTGTTTTATCTTCTTAGAAAAATACCTCAATCATTTAGAGAAAGTTAGAAGTCTTGTTCAATATCCTCTTCCTTCCCCAGTACAATGAGGAGGAGGAGCTCATAGAAGCACTCTGGTATACAGCTCTCTATCATTTCTTTTCCTCATATCTTTTACGTTTTGGCAATTTTGCATGATTTATCTTTAAAAAATGTAATAAATTTTATTTGAGCAATAGGAAGCAATTTAAAACATCTCAATCTGCTGTGCATTTTGTGACCTTTGGTAGTGCGGTAGGTTACAGGGACTACCTCTCATGCCTGGAAGACAAGCTGCACCAGGAAATTAATAGTTGTACGTTCTGTTAGCCTGCTACGGGCAGCAGGCAACGTGTTAGCTCAAAACCAGCCAAAGCTCTATATTGTCTTTACCAGACAGTAAAGCTCTCGCTTTACCATAAGAGACATCTGGGCATACCATTGCATGGGATGCAGGAGAGAAGGGAAGGACTTTGGATGAGTTTGTATCGGATGTTGTGCTGGAAGAGGCAACAAGAAAATTGCGTTGGAAGGGACTTCCGAAACATAGAACGCTGACGTAGGGAAACCTTTTCTCATTAGTTGTGTTGTTCACTGTTACTTGCTTGTTATGTGGCTTTTGTATATTGTAATTTTGGGTGCTTGTGCTTGAGATGTCAGGTGCCAGTTTTCAGAGCGAGGGCCGTCATCTTATGCAAAGCGTATCTCCAGGTAGCTTCCAAAAAGAAGACACTGTAATACTGTTGAGGAATTTCTAGCAGCATTTGTTTCGGTAAAATTCTCAAACATAATCCTGATTAATGGAAACCCAGAATGATTAATAAGTCTGAAAAATAAAAGCTCTGTACAGTTTCCAAGAATATTCCTCACTGATTTCAGTATAAGTAGGGTTTTCTGTCTAATTATTTGCATTTTTCTGAAGAAACAGAGTTGATTACAGCCATGATTTCAATTCTGGTATTTCAAATTATACTGTTAAAATTCTTGCATCCTTGTGACCTATTTTGATTAGTTTTATGAAAATGTCCTTCTTTCTCTGGAGTTTATGCATTTCAGTACATGCATTGTGTTGAGCTATTCTCTATCTTTATTCCCTTTTTGACGCTGTATAACTTTATTCATGTATTTATACACTGTGATTTATGTTATGATTGGGGTTTACTGATTCCTGCCATTGTTTTATTTTGCACTGCAGTGTGGAGAAGCTCAACATTGCTCAGTTTTGGGAAAGACTGTGAAAATCTTTTTAAGGTTGTTTTTTCTTTCTAGAGGGTTTTTGCCTTAGAGATAAAATATATTTTTACAGGTGCAATATGAAACTGGAATAAGCAATCTGCATTACATGTTTGGCGCATAAGTCATTACTATGAGAATAATGCTGTATTAAGGGTTTCTGCTTTCAGAGAAAAAAAAAATCAGCTTATCATAACTGCACATATTCCCTGGAGCAGGTATCCAGGTAACCATCCTTTCAGTTCTGTAGGGGGGACAGGTGGGAGGCTGTGAGCTTATTTCTTCATCTGATGAGCAAAATAGTCCCGAGCTACAGTTAAAATAAATCTGAAGATAAACATTTAACAAATCCCTCTCAGCCTTTTAGCAGGAATTAATACTTGTAATCTCAGGTTTATCATCAAGATTACATAATATAAACCCTCCTGTCAAATTATAATGTGTATTGAACATTTTGAACAAAATGAGGCTAGTGAGAGGGTGAGACAGCACAGCTATTTCTGGGTTTTCGTTATAGAATTATGAAGATGAGTTTCTTGGAAGCATTTTTAAAACATGATTTTCAGTGACAGATTGCAAACTCACTTTCCTTCCTCTTATTTGCTATGCGATTTAGTTTCCACACCACTCCATCAATACACAGATAAAACTGAAATAATGATTCAGAGGATGCCTTGTATTACGCCTAGCTTATTGCAAAGACATATTACTCATTACCAGCCGAAACGTTGTAGTTCAATGCAGCTGTTTTGGTCTTAAGAGCAGACCTCACGCTACCTAATGTTAGTAATACTTTCCACAGGATCTTTAGAGATAGATGAATTGTGCATTTATTTCATTGTGTTTTGGAGAGCAATTTCCAATAATTCAGACATGTTTTAAAAATCCAGGGGGGAGCACAATTTGAAAAAAAGAATCCTAGCAAACTAGCACTCAGATGTTATTGTTATTGTTATGGAGATTTTTTGGTTAAGAAGTTAAAAAAAAAAATGTGGTTGTGCACTGAGTCATTTCTGAAGATGATAATAAAAGGTATATATGGGTAACCAAGACAATATACAACATACCTTTTGAAACCGTTTATGCTAAACAATAGAATTTTGGATTAAAACTTCCAATAACTTCCTAACTTTAGGTGGCTATACTTTTTTTTTTTTTTTATTTTGACCCTTTAAACCGGCAACACAGTGTAGTAGGCTGTCTCGAGATTGTACTGTTAGTGCAGAGCTTCTTTCTGGAAGTTAATGATTCTGTTATATATGTCCTTATATTTGCAGTCTCCCCATAGCCCAGATTGCCTTCACGTACAGACCCAAGACATAGATTTATGTTGATACTGTAAGTCTGTTAACTCTGCAAACCTTCATCTGTAGCGTGGATGTCTCAACATGAGTCAACAAGATTCTATGGATACTCAAAATATTTTGAAACCATATGAACAGAATGTGTATTTTCCTCTGGCTAGTAAAGCTCAGTCACAAAGTCTTCATAGACTTATAATGTGCAGAATCCGACCAACCTGGCAAATGAATTGTTTGTTAAAGCATGTTCTGGCTGTACCTCCAAACTGCTTTTAAACAAAATAGGAGCATTTTCCTTATGCCAGGTATTAGATTGGCAGCTGGAGACTCCAGTTTTCTATTCAGCAAATTGGAGCAGGTTTTTGACTTGACCAGTGACCTTCCTAGGGAAGAATGTTAGTACAAAATTTGTCCCTCATACAAATTTTCTAAGACAAGAATGAAAGGAAGAGTAGGAGAGAGGAATTTTGTATTGCCTGTTAAAGTATGATGCCTGAATTAACCAATAAAATCAATTTGCATGTTGCTTGCTTTTGGAAGGAATTAGTGATTTCATTAAAGGTAAATAATCTGAGGACTACTACTTTTTTAAGGGGAATTTCCTAGATTCCTCAGCCATTCATTATGAGGTTAAATACAGAAGTGTTATATAGAATGTCTTTCAGGGAAGGGAACTTGATATGGAGATGTGTACCAGGATTTGTCAGTGCCTTTTTTTTTTTTTTTAAAGTTCCTGGCTTGGATCCAGTTTAGAATCCAGTCTAGAGACAAGACTTATAATGATGCAAAAAGCTCACATTTTGGCTAGTTTTGCCAGTAGGTGTTTATGCTTCTATTCTGTGCATAGGAAGCACTCAAAGTGACCATTCTTAGTCTTTTCACATACGGTCATTTTCATCAGATAGTTCTGTCTTTGATTCCGTGATATACTTTGTACCAAGTAGCAATTTATCTGTTACACTGAACACACTATGGTCTGTTTTTTGTTTCTAGCTTTTATTTATACTTCTGTCCCTTGTACATCTTTTTGTTTTCACATGTAGTTTTTTATTTTTGTTCTTGTTATTTTTGTATTCTGATACCTTTTCATTGTTATTTCTCATTCTGTCCCTCTTTCTCTCTGTCCTAGTTTTTGGCCTCGGTCATATTCATCATAGGTTTCCATCTAGCATCATATGAAACGTGCTTCTGGTGAAGATTATAAAAGACGTGCTGGGAAGGGACTTTAGTCATTCTCCCTTTGCAATTCTGCTGATGTCTAAAATTGTGTTAAAATGTAATAGAAATGCAAAAGAAGACTCTCTAGTGCCTCTAAACGTTGCCTGTGCCTAAATTTGCCCCATTATTATCTGATTAAACTTCGGCAAATCGGGAATAGACAAGAATGCAGTGTTAAATTTCAGAATCTTTTACTGGACAGTGATTGTGAATATTAGTTATGAAGTGTAGTTAATTTACCTGAGTGAATGCCATCTACTGCAGAAAGATGCACAAAATTACCAGCACTAGAGTTTTACCTTTTGGCCCCACATTATACACTTAAAATCAACATCCAGATATAAACAACTAATGAAGTGAAATACAGAGAAGAAATCGCTTTCCATCCCAAAGGCTCTAAAGAATCCTGAGATTTACTATCTACAATTTTATTCTGTTTTTCATAGGAGACCGTATTCAGTCAGAGAATATGATTATAATTCTGTGTTATTTCATCATTTTTTTTAACGTCTGACTAACTATGGCATTATTTTGTTTTTATGGTTCATGTTTGTTTTCAAGAGAGTTATATTGTTGTCAGACTAAAGCAACGTACTCAGAGTGGATTTACACTGGTGTATAACCAGAGTAATCCTGAGGAACATCTGACTTTTTGTTTACAATTATATTAAAATATTTACAAACATGTACAATGACCATGATCTTATATTTTCTGTATAAATAGCTATCCCAGAATTGCTAGATAGCGTTAAAATACATAGAGAAAACAAACTAATAACATCAAACAGAAAAGGGACCACAAGTTAACATAGAGTGGATATACACTAAATTTTCTGCAAGATTTTGCATTTTATTCCGTTGATAAAAAAGACACTGGAACTGATTTTTGTTAGTCCTGTAATAGCAGATTAAAGTCAGCTGATAGATATGTAGCACCGTACAGCTAATCAGTTGCACTCATCATGATCACTGCTTATGTGACTCTCATTGATTCATATGGAAATAAATACTGTTCTGGGAAGCAGCTGCTGGTTCATTTTTAGCAGGATTTCATGAGATTTGTAATGTTGTTTATTTCTCTTGTAATAATACTCTTTCTTGTTGCAAAGTGTGCAGTTCGTGCAGCTACAGAAGGCAGAATCCTTGTGTTGGAAGGTTTGGAGAAGGCTGAGCGCAACGTCTTGCCCGTATTGAACAATTTGCTGGAGAACAGGGAAATGCAGCTAGAAGATGGTCGTTTTCTCATGTCTGCAGAACGTTACGACAAGCTTCTGCAGGTATGGAAGTGCCATTTGGATTTTCCCATTTTGTTTTCCTATTTTTTACAGTGCTGGAATACTGTTGTGAGGGGAGGAGTAGTCATGAGGCAAATGGGGAATTCTCAACAAGGTGCCTATGTTTTTTTTCTGGAATGCGATGTGGCCTTAAATTAGCAAGGTAAAAGCTATGGGAGGAGTCAAACTTTCCTTTACTGGTTGCAATTTTTTTTTTTTTTGGTGTCTCCTTTGTCCACATCAAAAAGAGTAGGCCATATTAACGTGGTATGAAGTCTGTATGTTTCTAAAATATGAAAACTACTCTGAGTAACCCAAGTATGGATTGAGGTTGAAAGTGTTCCCGTAAAATTCAGGTAATGCTTTAACGTTTCAAGAGTCTCTGTAAAGCTTTTAAAACGTTAGGATACTCAAAAAAAGCGGTCATGATGGGAGACAGTATATTCCTCAATGTTGTTTCATTTTTAATTTGCAAAAGTGTAGGTAAATAGCCAGTCTAAATTATAGGAAAAGTATGAAATCTTTATCTTTTGATAGGAAATTGTATCTCCTATCTCCTAGGAAACTGTACTTCCTATCTTTTGATAGGAAATTGTCTGCTGCTGTTGCTACTTTAGCCATTTCAATGTTTTTCAAGTTTTGGGTACCGCTGCTTAAATTTGAATGGATACTTTTAAAGCTTTTGGGGACCTTGATAAATTTCAGCAGAGTTTCCTGTAGTATTGTTTATCTTACTATTATGTGTTGTAGTTGTCTATCGCATACCTGTTTGTCTATCACATACCCGTTTGTCTCTTATATCAGCCTGGCCCCTGCTCACTCAGTTTTCTGCCTGTCTCACCTAACTGTGGTTAAGTGTGTGGTTCAGACCAATGTGGCATAGGAAGTCAGAGGAAGGAAATTTGTAATAAGCCTTCTGCCATTGATCCTGACTGTATTAAATTGTCTATCATACCATTAAGTGCTGCAGTGGATTTCTGAAAATATTTTGGTTATTGTGCCTCTCCTCTGCAGTTATGATTCTTCTGATCCGTGCCTTTTCCAAAAACATTTTAATGGTATTTAATTAGTAGATGTAATTGTTGTAAACGTTATGATTATATTTACAAAGTAAGCTTTTAAAATGTAATTGTATTTAAAGGCAGCATTTGGTTGTGGTTATGCAGGACATCTTCCCCCCCTCCCCTCCCCCCTCTCTCTCTCTCTCTCTCTCTCTTTTTTTTTTAACCATTTTTCTAATGATAAAATGTTTCAAAATGGGTGCCTCAAGCACACTGCTAATAGTAGATGAATTAAATAAATCTATTGCTATGATGCTAAATCTAATATTATTGTTTTGTTGTTTGGGGAATGTTGTATTATATAAGCTAATGTTCATTTTCTCTTCTCCTGTGTGAATAATTACTGTAGATCTAGGTCTGCAGGAGGTTCTCGTGCAGTTTCAAGAAAGACTTGACCGTAATGTGGGAAGACTAAAGGGTGCCTGTTTTATATGCATTGAATCTTTTCATAGCAAAGGCTGAAATACACAATTACTTCTCACGAAGGAGTCTAGTGATAGTTCTGTGTTGTTTTGCTTCTGGTAAAGCATACTTTAATTTTTTCTTATTCAGATGAGAGCCTCCTTACATTTACAAGTAGAAGAAATGAAGAAAAAAACACCCTTGCTTATGGCCATGCATTTCTAATATTTTAAAATAAAATAAAAATTGTAGTCTGTTTATTCTTTGCTCTTTTTGTGAAAACAAGATTGTAACATTGCTTCTGAACTTTGACCAACTGTGGGGTCTTTGATCAGCTTGCTAGGGGCCAGAAAGCTGCACCTAAATAAACATATTCGATCTACCTTTACCTTGGAAAACCTTGCTCGTATGATCTGCAAATTTGAGTAGTTCAGCGCTTTCTTGCCCCTCTGGAAGAAAGAGAGAACAATGCCACATTTAGCTTGAAGAGTCGGAACTGTTGGTCCATATGAAGCCTAGTTATTGTGAGTTTTAACGACGTAAGTTTTTTTCCTTATTGTTATTTTATTTTTATTAATTTAGGAACATACGAAAACAGAGTTAGATGCATGGAAGATTGTTCGGGTTAGTGAAGATTTTCGAGTAATAGCATTGGGCCTGCCAGTACCTAAATATTCTGGTAACCCGTTGGATCCTCCCCTTCGCTCTAGATTTCAAGCTAGAGATGTTTATCATCTGCCTTTTAAGGTCAGTATCCTAGCAGAAGAGTTGGATTATGTGTACTGAGTAAAACTAATAAATATTTTGACCTTATGTTGTACATACTTCACCTCTGAAAAGGATCCTTAGATAATCCATTGATCTTAAAGGGTATTTTTCATATTGCTACCTAATAAATTCCTGAAAAGCAGGATTAGAGTTGGCAAGGAACGCTGTAGCTGAAAAATAACTTCCACAAAACAATATAAGCCTAAAAGAAAGTTTTGATAATGCTTTTCTTCTATAAAATTAATTCTATGTCAAGGAGTGGGTGGATTCTTCATGTCTAAATTAGAGGAAAAATAGAAAATGCTTCATACATCATGAGCTGTGACCCACAGTATGACCCACAAAAATTAATTTACTGCGTGATGCTATGTTCTATTTTCAGGATCATCTTCAGCTATTATATTCAATTGGATCAAACATTTCTACAGAGAGGTAATTTTTAATAATTAAAAAAAATTGAAATGAAGGAAGGAATGTGATGTCCTTTCAGGATTCCTTGCTATTTTTGTAACTTCTATCACTGCATAGATACCAGAACTGAAGAAGTTTTTTAATATGTGTGGGTGTATGCTCGAACTGCTTTTCATATACAGCCTTCATATAATGAATCTTTAATGCTTTAGAATTTCAATCACACGTACGTTAGTTATTTGGGCTCAGAAATAGTTCTGGTATTGTATGCTGTGTTTAGCTTTTTATGCTTTAGTAATTTAGATATACTTGGCATGTATAAAACTCTGTAATTACTTTTTCCTATGCAGAATTTCTCAGCTCCTGTCTTTTGCTACAACTCTCTGCTCTCAAGAATCTTCTACACTGGGACTTCCAGATTTTCCTTTAGACAGCTTATGGGCTGCAGTTCGGATTTTGGTATGTGCGGACACATGTGCTGTGAAATTGTGTGAGTTTAGAATTCCTCAGAATTAGATCTAGCTTGGCCATGTCTTTGGAAGAAGATTAACGTGAATATTTAAAAAATAAAACAAAAAAATCCCAGAGAGATTCTGGGTTTGGATTGGATTTCTCTGGGTAATGGTAATACTTTAACCACGTACATGGCATAATACTGAAGGACAAACCATAACAGGAGGCAAGACTTGTGATGTCATCTAATATGTCTTAGCATTCAAAATAATGATCACATTCTGCTGGATCGTCTCACCTGACTTCAGGCTTCTACAGTTTGCCGAATGACACTGATGTAGTCATCTAGGCTCCCTTTTTTAGTCACTGGAGAGAAATAAGTACTTTTAGGATGTGATTTTTCTGTGATTTTAATAGTATACATGCAAATTGGATTAATCGCATACCAAAGACATGTATTACTCTCCATGGACACCAGAGAGGTCCAAGTAACTAGTTCAAAAGTGGGTAAACCTGTGTTGTAAGCACTTAAGTTGTATGAGATGAATCACCCATTAAGGTGCAGGTTGTGCATGCTTGAAAATATAATACTTCCTGACAGCTGCAGTCCATAGGGAAATATAACAACTCTATGCTTTGTTAGGTTCACGGTGGCAGATCAGGCCGGCCAGATCTATTGCTATGACAGTCTTTCTGCTCTCACTGACAGCCTTTCATCCCTTGCCCTTTGCAATTACTTGGTAAAAAATCAAAGTAAAAGAAAGAAGGTGCCTCCTGAAGGAAGTCAGTGAGATGATGAGATCTGTATAAAGAGAGATGGGCCAGATATCCTTTTGCAAGTGGGAGGTAGTAGTCAAGCCAGGAGGGTAAAATATTAAACAGCTCCTGAAATCCTCTCTGCAAGGTGCAGGTGTCTGCAGAAACAGCTTCTAGGGTAGTTTTTATCTCCTGTGCAAGCATTTTACCTGTGGTACTGCTCAGTTGCCGATTACTCCTACATATTTTACTGGATTACACACTTTAAAACATGTTCACTACTTGTTTTACTGTTTTGTTCAGTACCCTCAGTGTGCTAGAAAGACATTGTTCCCAGTACTTTGCAGACATAATTTTTGTCTGATCTAGCAGTATTGCATCAGATACCATGAAGGGATTAAAATTCAAGTGTAGAGAAATGAAACAGTATTTGGAGGGCTTTAGGAAAGAAACAGATATTTGATTTTAAAATAAATTGCAACTTTTTATTCTTTGAGGCCTGGAGTGAAAAATTATTTTTAAATGAATGCCAGATGGCTTTCAGAGTAATGGAAATAAAATGAGCCCTCAGCCATTATCTAAACTATGGAATGAAGGAAGTATTTTATTTTACATTAGACAATGTAAAGTGTTATCATTATATGACAGTGTCCTTTATAGATAGACCAGAACCATTTCTTTTAGAATTAGTTTTAATTACTCAGTTTTCTTAGCTGATTGTTCTCACTCGTTCTAGCCTAAGCATTTTTCCTTCACATGCTGGGTCGTTGCCCTCTTCTAACCTAGCTAGGATGATTTAACCGTTTAACAGTGTTGACATAATACATTGTAATGACTGTCTCCTTGTCTTCCATCACAGATTCACACAGTCCCAGAATGCTTTATTTATGTATTTCTTAGGCTGAAAACTTCCTCCTGAAAGAGAGAATTTTTTTCTAGGGTATTGTTCTGAAGAGGTTAATTTCAGATATGCCGTTATAATTTTGATGTACTTGAGATAATGTGGACAAATTCTATGTTTTGTCTTCATGTATAGAGAGGGGTCTTTTAAAATGCAATAAAGGGCTCTCTGATCCCTTAAGCAGTACACTGACTAGAATGCCCTTAAGTAGCTTCTTTTTACAGATGATTCTTTAATATGGAACATTATAAATAGTATTCCTGATTATAAGCACGAATTGAATTAGGCATTTCATAAAATATATACCTCCTGATTTCATTTCTGAGCAACTCTTATACTCTTTTCAGTTGGGATTCTGTGTAAACCCCAATTTTTTTTAATTGTAAATCTGTTGATTTTATTTGGATTATACTGTATACTCTGTACTTGCTTTGGTGAACTCTTAAAATAGTATCAGACCACTGACTAGTTTCACTAGTGTTACGCACCATGTAGTCATTAATAATTTATAAGCTTTTGTACAACAAGCGACTGAGCAACACTTTAGGGTTTTTAAAAATTTTTTTTCCCCCTATGGAAGGATTTAGTCATGTAAAATTTTTGGTATATTCATGGATTCACGGATGGTACTTCCATTTCTTTCTCTATTACTGTGGTAAAGTAACTGGAATCCTTGTTCAGGCAGTAGCTCCAGGAAAACTACTACTACCATTAACAGGCAGATACAAAAAGTTTCCAACTATATGTAGAAAAATGCAAGCAAACTTAGTAACTTAGTAAATCAGAATTAAATATTATAAATTGCTATGAATGAGTAAATAAGTGTAGTGTAGACTTCTGATCATACAGATCCATTTCTAGTAGTACCATGAAACTCAGTTATCTATAGTGCGGTCTGTCTCTTCTGACTTTTGATGTCTGCAGGTAGCTGAGCCAATCACTGTAGATTCCCTTTATGCACAGGAGTAAGAGTCACTTTTAGGGCACAGTTCACCTGACCTATTTCAGATATTTACATTGTAATGAATTGCACCTGAGAAATGCCTGTTTTGAGATTAGGGCAGCAACTGGATGTAGTTGTCATTTGTATATTGCTATTATATTTTTATATCAAGTTTATTGCTATGATTTTTAGGTTAAAAGCTGATGAAGAATGGGTCTTTTTTATTTTTTTATTTTTTTTACTTTTTTTGTATTTTTAATTTGAATTAGGATTCCTTTCCTATGATGTCAGTCCAGCGTGTTGTTGAACGGCTTTACCCCTATAATATTTTCCTCAGAAAGGAAGGCAGGACTGCTGTCAAAGATACATTAAAAGTAAGTATTGTGCATTGTAATTCGAGGGAGCAGAGGGTTATGACAGTAGTTCTCATTAACTAGTATCACTTCATTATTTCAATTAGAAAAAATGAAATAATTTAAACAATCACATTACTGCTGATATTCAAACAGTATTTTAAAGAAACCTTCGTATGCTGATAGATTTCATTAGCATGAAAGGTAAAAGCTTTACGTTCTGTAGAATATTCAGATCTCAGTTCAAGAGGACATAAAACCTTTCACAATGTAAGTAGTTGATTAACTTAGAGTAGCTACTTGGATGGTTAAGGTAGTCAAGTGCTTAAAAAATACCTTCTGGCTTTTGGCCTTTAAGAAGAGATATTCAAATAATGATAGAGATCAGATAGCATGAAATATGTTCAATGTGGCATGGTCTATGCATCATATTAGTCTCTATTTTTAGTCTTTATTAGCCCTTTTTGGTTTGTTTTTGGCCTGATTATCTGTTCTGTTGTTTTTTATGTGTTTGTTAGTAGCTTATCAAGCTTGTAATTGTGCTAGGTTATTCTGTTTGTTCTTTTAAAACTTTAGCTGTTCTTTTAAAACTTTAGCACAGTGTTACTTTTCCATCACCTTTGAATATGTTGTAGGAGTTGCTGAAAATTAGCATTTGCAACCCAGAGCATCTTACGTAGCTTTTTCAGCACTGTAAGTTAGACGTTACTTGTACCTGCTGGGTACAAAGGTGAAACTTTGCTTTTCCTAAAGCCAGCCCTATGTGCCAGGGATATGTTTGTAGCCTGTCTCTGTGCCTGCCTCCCGTATGCTGTCTTTTTTCACTGGAGCACAGCCGTGAGTTCCCTGTTCAGTCAAGCCAGTCTCCTACGTGTTCGGGACTGGCAGTTCCTGCACTTGGAGGAGGTTGTCTGGAAAGACCTGCTAGCTTTCCTGGACTCCTTTAACCTTCAGACCTGCTTCCTGTGGGATCTTACCTACCAGTTCTCTGAACAAGCCGGTCCGGTCTCCTGAAGTCCAGGCTCTACAGTTTACTATGCCTTCCTCACTCCCTCTCAGGATCTTGAACTCCATTATTTCATGGTCACTACAGCCACGGCCTTTGATTAGCACATCCCTAACTAGTTCTTCCTTGTTTGTCAATAACAGAGTCAGCTGTGCATCACCCCTGGCTGGCTGGTGCAGCGCCTATATTGAAAATTTATCCCTGATAGCAATCCAGCCTTCTGGAAGCTTGTGTCGCACTGTCTTTCCCTTCCAGCAGATGTCAGGGTGATGGACATTGCCCATAAGAGCCAGTGTCCGTGATCCAGATTTCCAGCTGTTAACAGAGCAGTAACACCCATTTCTGTTCTTGATACACCCTTATCTTAAATCCTTTGTGCCATTTTGTTTCCCCTATCAGTTGTGTATAGTGTATGTTCAGTATCATTAGTTTCCTCTGTTTTCCATTTCTTATATTGAATTTTATATGTTGTGCCGGCTTTTGCTTCCTTTGTAAGACAGGTTTATTTGATTGATAAAACTTTCCTTCTCAGTGATCATCTACTTTGTAAATACCTCCCTGTTATGAATATTTTCCTCTGTTATTTTTCCTTTTTGGTACTCTTTCTCATCATTCCTCTTCTTATATAAACTTGCTGCCTTATTGTCACCAAGTACGTGTATTTTTATTCTGGAGTTTCAATCTATTTGCACACAACAAATGTTAAGTAATAAATCTTAAAAATATAGAAGGTAACCATGCGAAGAAACTTCTGTTTATAATGCTGTTTTATCAATAGTAGTGCTAAAAATGCATTAAATGTGGACAAGAAATTATTTCTTCCATTCCACAAGAAATGTCGGGGAGAGTAGTCTGGCAGGACCACGGTAATTTCTTAGTTTTAAGGTCTCTCTACTTTCCTACAGCTTTTCAAAGACTGTCCGGCTAATATTTGCCAGTGAGTGCTTCTCTCTTGAAATATATTTACAACTGATGGGTTAATTTGTGTGACATCAGCTAATATTTAAAGAAAATAGAAACAAATCTAATGTAGTTAAATGTAAAGTTAAGACATCAAAACTGGATGCAGACATGGCGAAGTAATTGTCTAACTGATGCTGTATCTTAACTTCAGAATGTCTTCTGTTTCACTCGGCTGTCGCAGCTGAGAAGTGAGGTAGCTAGCAGTTAGACTAAAAAGCTGCTGTTAGAACTTGAGCCTGTTAATTGAAGAAATCATATGCTGCAGACACTCTCTTCCCAAACATGATCTTCAGCTTGTGTAAATCTTTCCTTACATGCCTCCCTGCTCCCTGAGACTCCAGCAAGTCCTGGATATTCTTCATAACGTTTATTCTTGATAATCGGTTAATGTAAGGTATTGACTTATACCGTCCCTGCCAATGAAAGTTGCTTGTTACAGTGTTAGCCTTTGTGTAAAGACACTTTGAAATGCAACCTGCTTGTCGAGAGGATCTAGATGGAGAAATTCAAGAAAATTCTTTAAACTAAGCTTTTCTGTAGAAGATTTAGACACAGACAAATCACTGCTTTTCAAGGAAAACAGCCTTCAGTGAAGCATTCCCAAGCAGTGAGCTTAAGCACATATGAAGTCTTCCACAGTAATGAAATTTTCTTTCCTACATAGTATATATAAATAGGCATTTATAAAACTGGTCATCTTTATTTAGGTTGAGTTTGGTGGTTTATAGGGGACTCCACTCTTCTGTGCTTATTTCTTCAACGATGTTCCATATGCTTTTAATATTTTGCTTCAGAGTAGTCAGAGATTTTAATTTTACTTTTTTTTTTTTTATTCTTGCATTCCTTTTGCCCACTTGGGAAGCACCCACAGATTTTTGCATTTGTATCAAGTGAATCTTCCCATTAGATTTTTATAAACACCATATAGATCGGATTTGTCTTAATAAATGAGCAAACCTGTTTTTGTTTACTATCTAAGCATTTAACTTTGCTCTAAGAACCTTCTCAAATTTTTCCTTGTTATTTAATGTCTTGATTAATTTGGCATTTCTGCAAAATGTGCCTTATTCTTTTATCAAATAAAAGCTTGTTTGTTCCTTTTGACTTGCATATTTTGTGTTATTTGCCCACCTTCTTTAATCTAGCCTGTCTTCCTCCTTGAATACTGTTTTCCTGCTTCTGTATAAAGAAACTCTTCAAGCTACACAGCTACTCTCTCTGTGAGAGTGGGCTAATGATTCAGAAAACTGGAATCATCTTTCTTATCTAGACAATTTTCACTTCACTTCTAAGATCTGTCTGTTGCAAATTGTGGTCTAAGAAAGGCTATTTTTCTTTTTTTTCCCCCCAAAGTCATTTGTAATCCTTGGGGTTTTGTATTAATGAATGCTCTTAGTGCCAGTACATACCATCATAGTGGAATCTGTTTTTCACGCTTCATCTATTTACCCAATCTGGTACTTGCAGCTCATGTTTTGCTTCTAGTGGGATAGTTCAGC